GATGAGTTTACCTTGTATATTAATGTCCTAAAGACTAGCTAAATTCCATTTTGGGGTCCCTAGTATAGTTTGCTACATAGTCCACGTCCAGGAAAGCTTTGTTGCCGGAAACTTACAAAAATCAATGCCTTTGCCGGAGTGTGGGTTTTATTAGACTTACTTAAGTTTTACCGTATTCAGCTAGAAATTACTAAAAAAAAAAAACAGTTCCGAGACAACCAAATAGTAAACATACCCAAGCTTAATAATCAGGCGCATACTTTGCAGGTTTCGCATCTGGTAATTTATGGGCAAACTTATTAGTAAAGTGCGAGTTAGTCATGTAGAATCTGGCGAAAAACCAATATTGGGCCACCAGACGAAATGTTTGTCTGCTGCTGCAAAATTGGAAATGCATTCGCTTCTATGTCTGCTTTATTTGTGCCTTGTTGATTACATTACGGCCAGTAATCAATAAACCGTGCAAGCACTTAATTGCTTTACATCAAGAATAATTTAAAAAATATCGGGCAACTTAATTGCATTATCAGCATTATCATTAAAGATTCAAATGAAGGCAAGTAATTGAAGCCACCTCGTAGCATCAATGGCGTTCAATTGAATCGGTTCGGCTACTTCGCCGCTGCGGGTTGAAGCGAGAGCAGCATGATCTTGGTCACTTCAATGACCCGCTCTTTGTCAATCCTGTCTCACTTACCAGGGGCATTCGCAAATATTCAAAATCGCCCTTAGCTGTGGCACCTATTTTTATTTTTAGATTCTATACAAAAGTAGCAATAAGTCCAAATAGAGTTGAAATTCGATGCTTCATCATTTTTCCGTTGGAATTGCGCACAGAACTTATACACTTACCTATCAAATATTCGGATTGAAATATCGTGGAACTATCGCGAAGAAACTACGACACTAAGAGCAACGGGAAACAAACTTGTTCCACAAGCATTGTAACAGTGGAAAGTTCAGCAAACTCGAACTTTTAACCAGAAGGTGTGTTAAATTTTAAATTTTGTCAGCCTTTCCAGACAAGATTGATTACATAGAACTGAAGCAGTTTTGCTTAGGAAAGTTTGCGATCGCGGCCAGAAATCTGCACTTGCTTTCCACGTGATGGTAATATTAAGAGCATTATTTTCCGATGTTCAGTGAGACTTTTTTTGAGATATTTTTTAAATAAAACCGACAATTATCATCAGTAAGGCATGCTTTTATTTGCGTCAAATCCGCCCGAATTGAGCGAGAGTCGCGTTAGATCGAAAGATCAAAAGAGTCCCTCAAAGTGAACGTGCAATTTATGCATAAGCCGATGTTTTATTTATTCCGTTCGAAACACACATACTTCCCAATATTCCGTTTAATATAGTAAAAAAAGGTGTCTGCCACATACATCACTCTTCCATTTTGGTTGTATCACTTCGGATTTTTCCAATATCATTTTTGTTGACGTGACAGGAATTCAACGGTTTGGGTCGCACATGTTTGCTTAAATGCATTCAAAGCCCCTCAAATATATTGCCCAAAAAATTTATTGAGATTATCGTAAAGTGGATAATACGGAAATGTTGGAAATATACAGGGTGATTCAAAATTGGCGTCATTCCTCTGGAGGTGTTGTCTGGCGGTGTTTTCGGAGTACAGAGAAAATGGTAAAAACAATTAATTGTTATTAAAAACTGAGAAATTTGCAAAAAACTATATTAGAAAAACGGCAACAATGTTTTACAAGGTAATCATTACGCAAATACCTGTTGCTTCGTAATTATTTAAAACTCCGGTAATCATGGATGAATAGAGAAAGTGACAATAAGATAGACAAGGATAAACGGTCAATTCAACAGGAATCGTTGAATGACGGAACCTGTTTCGAAACTCATAATCTCGAATTATTAATTTGTTTACAAATTACAAAAACATACATGTGAGTCTGTAACTGCAAACAAGTGCCTGTGTAATCATCTTATTATGCACTCTTCTAGAGCAGCTTCTCGTATTCGGTTAATTTACTCCTGCTCAATTTATACCGGTGTTCGCTAACCCAATGGTTTAATGTGATCTTACATACGTGGTAGGAATGTTTTTTGAAGAATTGGAACTGATAAAGTACGTTTCATGTCTGTTGATTAAATTTTTAATTTAATTAACTGAAACCGAAAAACTCGTTTTTTCTAAAGGTTTAAATTTTTCAACTACACTAAAAACCGTTCCAAAACTTGATTTTAATTCGAGTATAGAAGAAACAACTCAAAATTTACCTGAAGAACAACAGGAAGAATTTCGTATAAGATCAAAAATAATAATAATAATGAGTAGAAAAACCTTTCAAAATTAAACAAAACATAAGCTCAATAGATCGAAAAGCATTAATGTCCTTAAAAAAATATAAAACAATAAAAATTTTGCCTGCTGATAAAGGTAATGCGACCGTAATCATGGAATATAATATCTATGATCAAAAAATTAATGAACTTTTAAATGACAAAAGTTATTCAAAATTAAACAAAAATCCAACAGAACGTTTTGAAAGACACATTTATAACACTTAAAAAAAATTAACACCACACAATAGTAAAACACCACATTTTTACGGAGTTTCAAAAATTCATCAAGTTAATATTCCTTTACGACCAATGGTTAGTAGTATAAATTCACCTACACATCCCTTAGACAAATATCTTTAAACATTTTAAATCCCCTAATAAATAACACAACTTCCTATATTAAAAATT